GCATGTAAATAGAAAACCCTAAGGAACTACCAAAAGTTATTAGAATTAATGAATCAGTATAACAAGGCCACGCTACAAGGTACTGAGTCATAGAAACTGTGCCTATGTCTATATACTAGTAACAACTAGAAAATGGCAATTTTATAATCTCCCTTTATAGTAACAGCAAAAATACTCAGGTATATGCAAAGCGATATCCTAGACAGGATCCTCACACTCACAAAAGTACGTTAGAGGAAAAACTGGTAAAGTGCAGTTTAGGACTGGCCCTGTATCATAGTGGGTGGAAGACATTCCCACATGGCCGACCACAGTTCAAATCCCAGCCCTGGCACCTTAAAAACCACCTGGGCCCATGTGTGCCCCAAATCCTGACAGATGGAGAGAGGAAGAACTGATTGTGTCATGACTATCCCCCATTATGGGTTGTTTTCTCCCTCTCTGTCTCTCAGTCTCTCTCTGGCCAGCACACATGTTCAATGGCAATAAAAAATAAAATAAATAATTAAACTATATCATTTAGTCAATTATAACATAATAATGATAATTTCATAGTTATAAGAAATATACAATGGACACCTAAATACCAACATTAGAGAAAATTGGTCAAAAGTTAAATGATCACTCAATACTATCTTTGCAACTTCTTGTTCAAAGATTATTCAAAACATTAAATGTTATTTGAAAGTAAGAAAAGAATCTTCACTTATACATTATATTTTACAAGGTAAGTCTTTGCTCTCAAGACTGCAAATATCAGAGAAATAACAGAAGACATGAAGGATGGAGGAATGGACCATGCTTATTACTGAGATGGAAATTCTTCCCAAATTCCTTGATAGATTTGGTGCAATCCAAATAACATATTTATAGCTTTATTTTAATTGACATGTCTATTTTAAAAATAGTAAGGAAAGACATAGACCTATTATTAATAGAATCACTACCCAATTTTGAATAACAAGAACAAATTCAGAAGACTGATTTTATTTTAAGACCTGTTATGAAGCTACAGTAATCAACAGAACATGGCATTGGTGGGAGAACAGACATATGGATTACTCTAACAGAATGGAGTGCAACTGTGTGTTTAAACAGATATTATCAGCTGGATTTTGACAAAGTTGCCAAGGTAATTAAATGGAGAAAAGATGGGGTTTTCGACATGCATAACTGAGCACCTGCATATCCATGTAGCGTGAATGGGAAATGAAGTTTAAGTTTTACATCACGTCATACCCAAGGGTTAGATAAAGATAGATCTAAATATAAGAGTTAAAAGAGTTAAATGTCTTTTTTAAATAATAGAAAAGCACTTTATGAAATTGGGTTAGTCACAAAAATCTGACTCCATAAAATATAAAATGAAAAGCATGCAATGCAAAGCAAAAAAGTTATGAATGGGTTTAATTAAGATTAAAACTTACTTTTTTTAGAGAGAGATTTTTGCTATAGGGCAGGTGCACTTACCAGAGAGACAGAAAGCGAGAAATCACCCCCCAGGGGGATGGCCACACCGTAATCCCTTCTCCTTCATTCTCCTCTCAGGATTTTGGAGATGCATGCACACACGCCTGGAGTGAGTTTTAAGCTGCCAGGTCCAGGACTCAAACCGTGGTGGAGTATGTGGGAGTCCAATGATGTAATCATTACACGTGTTAAATGTCTTTTTAAAATAATAGTAAAACACTTTATGAAATTGGGTTAGTCACAAAAATCTGACTCCATAAAATATAAAATGAAAAGCATGCAATGCAAAGCAAAAAAGTTATGAATGGGTTTAATTAAGATTAAAACTTACTTTTTTTAGAGAGAGATTTTTGCTATAGGGCAGGTGCACTTACCAGAGAGACAGAAAGCGAGAAATCACCCCCCAGGGGGATGGCCACACCGTAATCCCTTCTCCTTCATTCTCCTCTCAGGATGTTGGAGATGCATGCACACACGCCTGGAGTGAGTTTTAAGCTGCCAGGTCCAGGACTCAAACCGTGGTGGAGTATGTGGGAGTCCAGTGACATAACAATTATGCCATCTGCTGGTCCCATAAAACGTACATTTTTTTAAAAAAAGAATTATTTAATTTTATTTATTCTTTAATTTATTTTAATTTGACCAAAGATACATACACAGAGAAAGAGGAAAAGTGAGAAAGCAAGTCATCATGTCTGGGACTCAAACCATGGTCGGCCACGTGGTAGTGCCCAATACCTTAACCACCATACCACCTGCTGATCCCAAAACAAATTTTTTAATAAACACGGTTAAGGGAAAAATCGCAAACTGTAGAATGGAGGGAAATTTGCAAAGCCCATAGCTGACATGGAGTTTATGTCCAGAATATATAAAAAATGTTTACAACTCAATAATGAGACAAGCAACCCTTGTTGCTTGCACAAAAGATTTGAAAACAAATTCACAAGAGAAGAATGAAAGTCACTAATAATTGTTTGAAAAGAAGCTAAACATCATTAGTTACCAGTAAGATGCAAATTAAACCACAAGGATACCAGCGCTGGCAGGTGGAATAGTGGTTAAGGTGCTGGACTCTCACGTGGTTGACCACAGTTTGAGCCCTGGATTGGCAGCTTGAAACTCACACCAGGAGCATATGAAAGAATGCCCCAAATCCCGAGAGAACAAAGAAGAAGGGATGGCAGCTTCGCCATTCCCTTTTAGGGGTGATTTCTCACTTTCTGTCTCTCTGTTTCTCTCTCTTCAGCAACTGCACATACCCTATAGCAAAACTCTCTCAAAAAACAAATGAATAAATAATTTTTGAAAAACACAATGACACCACCACAAAGCAACTAGAATGCAGAATGCATAACAGTAAAATGACTTATGAGAATACTGAATATTGACAGCACGTGAACAGTTAGAAATCATCACAGTGCTGGTAGAAATGCAAAACTTACAGCAAACTTATAAACCAGTACCACAGTGCCTTATATAATGAGACACACACCTACTTTACGACTCAATAATCCCACGTTCAGGCACTTATCCAAGTCTACACCAACTTATACTTAAATGTTCATATTTGCTTTTTTTTTCTTTTTTTTGGAGAGGTTTTTGCTATAGGGCACGTGCGTTTGCCAGACAGACAGAGACAGAGAGACAGAAAGCGAGAAATCACCCCCCAGGAGGGATGGCCATGCCACAATCCCTTCTCCTCCATTCTCTCAGGATCTTGGGCATGCACGCACATGCTCCTGGCGTGAGTTTAAGCCACCGGGTCTGGGACACGAACCACGGTCGACTATGTGGGAGTCCAGCGACATAGCCATTACGCTGGTTCCCCCCTTTTTTTTAATTGCTGGAAGCATATGCATGTGCCAGAAAGAGAGGGAGATAGAGTTGGGGGTGAGGGGGAGAAAGCATCTCCAGGGGGTGTACCGTCCCACCACAATCCTTTCATGGCTGTTGGGTTGTTGGAAAAGTCATGGCACATTTTTGCAACAGATGGTGCTAGTTCATTTTCTCTCTCTGGTCAAATTAAAAAATAATAATAATAAGTGGAATTAATAAATCAATAAATAAACCTTTTAAAAAATAAAAAGCAATAGGAAAAAATAAAGTTTGAATTCCTTTCCATAGAATTCCATTTAAATGTAGCTTAGATAAATTTTTGTTCTCACTTAATAAAATTTTAATAATCCATTATTTTGAAAAGCTATATAATTAATGGAAAAGATTAAGATACTGACATCAAATTGCTGACTTATACCAAAATGCAGTTTATGAAGTGCTTACGTTTAGAAGTAAAGACATTTAATAAATTATAGTCAGTCATATTTTGCTTCCATTTATATATGGTCTGACTTTGTGATGTAATGGTTAAGAGCTAGATTCCCCCATGGCCAGCCCTAGTTTAAATTCTGGCCTGGGGAACCTTGAAAAACATGCTAGGCATATGTGCACACATGTCCAGAATCCCAACAGGAGAAATGGAGAAGGGATTGTGGCATGATTGTTTTGTTTTGTTTTCCTCCCTCTCTGCCTCTCTCTGGCAAGTGCAAATGCCTCCTGCAATTAAAAAAAGAAATCATATATTGAGCATTTGGACCTGATGCTTGAAAATTTTTGTCACTTTACAATTAAATCTAAAATGTTAAATCTAATATCATCTCTATTCAGTGAAACCACAAAACGGTGTTAAGAATTTGCTAAATAAAATAACAAGAAATGGTTTGAGGTATAAATTACTATATCTGAACTTGTATTGATAGTTAGGGAACTAGTAGTTAATATAATTCCATGTTTTAGTTGCAAATACCAACTGGTGCAGGAAATATCATGATCTTACTGAAATACAGCCCAAGAGCCCATGAGCTCAAAGTCTAGATTCGGGCTGGCCCCCAGTGCACAGGTTAAGGCTGTGTGCTGACATCTAGACACTGCACTGCTGGCCCCAATTCAAATACAGGCCCTGGTGGCTTGAAAAACATGTGAGCTGTTTTTGTATGCACACCCTAAAGAAAGTCATATCAGAGGGTAGTTTTCCTCTCTCTGTGTCCTGACCCAGGGGACAGTCGAACAGGTTTCCTGAGGGAAGGAGTGAGAGACGGGAATGAAATAGTGTTACAACACGGAGACAATGCAGTGTTACACCTCTTCAGGGTCATCTGTTTATTGTGGGCAGCATGGAGGTGACACAGTGTCACAGCTCTTCAGGGTCATCCAGAGACAACGCAGTGTCACAGCTCTTCAGGGTCTTCAGGGTTGTCTGGAGACTACATGGTGCCAGCTCTTCAGGGTCTTCAGGGTCGTCTGGCAATTGTGGGCCAGGGATCGTGGTTATATACATGCTGGTGGGCAGTGATTGGTAGTTAAAAGGTGGGTTATGATTGGTTGCTTTTGTGGACCAATCATGAGGTGCCGGATATGCAAATCTGAGGAATTCTAGTGGCCAATCACTGTATGGTTTTCAAGGTGTTTTTGAAGGGGAGCCAATCATGGCCTTTGTCATTGTGTAATTGTTTGCTCTCTGAGAAACCTGCGATATTCGCTGGTGCGCAGCCTCCCTCATCTCTGATATGTGCACATACCCTCTGGCAATTAAAAAGAGAGAGAGAGAGAGAGAAACATTCTGTATTTCTTTTGAATTATTTGCTTGATTTTTAGGCATTGATTTCCTTCCATATCAAGATGCAAAACATTTAAGTCCTCCATTGTATGCAAGTGAAAGGCTCCCTGACTTGCATTGGCAGGCTAGTGTGATTTCTCAGGACATGAGCTTTAATTTCTTTCTCTTCAGCTTAGAGACCAGACCCAATTACACTGCAGCTGTGACACTAGGTGCCAGGGTCTCTGTGATTTTTGAGAATGTTGGCTGCAAATATGCCATACATTCCTTAAGGAAAATGGAGAGAAAAGGCTAGTGGCAATTTAATTGTCATCATCAGCCTTACCATCAGTAACATTTACTGTGTTCTTCTGATTGTCTGCACATATCCTTCACATAAAAGCCATTGCAGTGCACGCCATCTCTCTTCTTTGAGTTGTTCATGGCCTCTCTTAAAGTGTGTCACAAACTCATAGACCTATAATAGATGAGGATTTTTACTCTTTGTGTTAGTGTCATAATAGTGTAAATGTGTGCATTACCACCATAGACTTTCGGAGTTGCTGACTGTTTTCACAGGTAAAGCTTCTTGGGGGGAAAGAG